TAGGAATTACCCCCTTAAAACAGAACCAAAACTTCCCGAACCAATCAAATTATCCACAGAGAAACCGTTAGTCGATTCAACAAGCTGTGAGTAGGAAACACCTAATTTCCAATCCTTATAAGAACGTGAAGTTACAAGTCCATCTCTTGACTTTTTCAGCATTGAACGAGCACCAAAGAAGCATGATAGAGCAATTATGAATGCAAGTGCACAAGATATAGGGATGACTACTTTTGGGGAAAGTAGTCCTCGAGATGAATGGTGTTTATTTTTGGGGCATGTAGGTTGATGTAATTCTGGGATACCACCACAGAGCCTATGATTTCCAAGAACTGAGACACCACTGACATTTGAAAAAATTCCTTCTTTAGGCAACTCGCCTTCAAAATCATTATGCGAAAGATTGAGATACTTAAGTGCTCCAAGCTTGCCTATGAATTCAGGAATCTGCCCGGATAAGTTATTGCTTGAAATGTTAAGTTCTTCCAAGCCCTTTAAATCTTTAAGAGACTGAGGAATTGTTCCTTCAAATTTGTTGTCGTCCAAGTACAAGCCCCCCAAACTGGTACAACGGCCGATGGTGCTGGGGATTTCCCCTGATTCCTTGTTGTTTGATACATTTAGCACTGTGAGATGCACCAAGTCACCCACTTCACTTGGCAACGAACCAGTCAAATAATTTCCAGACAAGTCTAAAAGACCTGAAAGGGTTGAAAGCTCCATAAGCTTTTTAGGTATGCTGCCCGTTAGATTGTTATTATTAAGTAAAAGTTTTAACAGGTTTTGGCAGTTTCCAAGACTTGGAGGTATACTTCCCTCAAAACTGTTTCCGCCCATGTAGAGCTCTGTCAATGAAGTTATATTACCAAGGGAAGATGGATTTGGCCCGGAAAATTTGTTAGCACTCAAAGCTAGTCTCTTCATCTTCTCGAGCTTCCCAATTTCTTCGGGGACAACACCCGCCAAATGGTTATCAGTCATATCTAGATCGGCAAGGTTTATAAGATTTCCAATGCCATTTGGGAGGCTTCCATGTAACAAATTAACCCCTAGATAAAGAGTTTGTAGTTGGGTCGAAAGGTTGGCTATGGATCTCGGGATTTCTCCCCCAAAATGATTATAGCCAAGACCCAATTTTTTAAGACTAGTACAATTAGTCAAGAAATTGAGAAAACTCAAATCACCAAGTTTTCCATTTCCCAGTCGATTTTCTCCAAAGTTTAGCGAAATTAAGCTTCGCAAGCTTCCGAGACTTTCTCCAGGGACTGTCCCCGTGAAGCCATTTGTAGAAAAATCAGTCCTCTGAAGTCTAGAAGCATTTGACAATGATACAGGAATATTTCCAGTGAAATTGTTTATATCACATAAAAATAATACGAGATTAGGAAGCATGATGCCGAGATTTGGTGGTAGCTCTCCATGTAATTGGTTTATATGAACACCGAACGAGTATATGGAAGAAATATTATAAATTGAAGAAGGGAGCATACCAGACAAATTATTGTCCCCAACGAGGAATATCTGCAAGGTTGTTATACGCCCGAGCTCATTTGGTATGCTTCCTTGAAAATTGTTGCGGCCAAGAGCAAGACCTGTCAAAGAAGAAAAGTTTCCTATCCAACCTGGGATGGTTCCACTGAGATTATTTCCTACAAGTTTGAGAGTAGTCAAACTCAACAATGAACTGAGTTGGCGTGGAATTGACCCAATAATCTTATTGGATAAAAGATCCAAAAATCTGAGTTGTGTACAGTGGGACATATTAGTCGGAAGTTTCCCGCCGAAAGAATTGAAAGACAGGTTGAGACTTTCCGAGGTCCGCAGTCGACCCAATTCTTGAGGAATTTCACCATGAAACTTGTTGATTCCCAAGCTTATTTCAATTAGACGAGTAAGATTCCCAATGGAAGGTGGAATGGAGCCTACCAATTGTTTATCTTGCAGGTCCAGAATCAAGACTCTTTGGGTGGCACGGTGGCATGTAATGCCTACCCAACTGCAGAAGTGGACGGAATGATTCCACGAGCTCATGACACTGAGGGGATCTTCAGTTACTCTTTTCTTGAAGTCTAGCAAAGCCAAGCGATCAGATTCGTTTCCAAGCAGGGTAGAGCTGGGAAATGCTGCAGATTCCGGACATGTGCTCATCATGCATAAGACGAGGAGAATGAAGCCATGAAGGAATTTCAACAAAACCAGATTACAAATAGTACGTGAATGCTCCATCATTGTTCGAAGACAAATGGAAACCCAGAAAACCAAAGTTTAATTTGCACAAAAGTACAAAAGAGAAGAAATCTTAGGACATAGAAGAAAAAAACACTTGAGATTGGATGGCCACGGAAATGAAGATAGACCAACTTAGTAGTTAGTCCACAGTAATTAAGAAATCTTATCACATGTAAGAAAAAAAACTTGAGATTGGGATGGCGTCAGAAATTAGGATAGACCAACTTAGTCCACAGCGTGGAAGGAACGGAAGAGTCGGACGGACTTAGTCCACAGCCTCAGAAATTAGGATAGACCAACTTAGTCCACAGCGTAGAAGGAACGGAAGAGTCAGACGGGCTTAGTCCACAGCGTAGAAGGAACGGAAGAGTCGGACCAACTTAGTCCGCAGCTTCAGTTCGGTTGAGCCACCTAACAGTCTGATCCGTGTCATCCACCTAACAACGATCGAGAAGAGATGAGTTTAACCGGCATCAGTAAATACAAAAGGGCATTGTTAGTGTTTCGTCCGGTTGAAATCATGTTAGATTTGGAGTAAATTCAGAGCGATTTCAATTTGTTTGGATTGCATAAGATTATCAAAACACACCCATGCTATCGTAAACAACGTGGCCCCTTGAATTACACAATCTCTAAAGGAGTGTACCATATCCGATTGTACTGCCATTTGAACTCGTGGCCAAATGTACTAAGTAATTTATCGGCAGCAACCCGAAACAGTAAAACAAGTTTACCATTTTAACCACAAATCGCTTGTAAATATTCTCTAAACAAAAATTACAAGGCCTGCAACAACAGTAACTCTACGGTTTCAATGAAAATGTTCAGAATAGTTACACGAGTCTGCACAAGCGAGGTCTCGAACAGAATTGCCTTCCGTTAGCTTTAACTGCTGCCGCTACTCCAGCAGTCACTCCAGCACAAAGAACAGAAGACATACTGTTGGGCATTTCAACCTGCTGCAAGTAGGATTCAAAACTTCTCAGGTTTTGGTGAATATTGAATAGAACTCGCACCTGACAACAAAGTTCCATGTACTAAGATTTCAGGCAAAACCAAAATAATAGTAATACCTTGCTGAAGTGTGACGGAAGTCAGCGTCAACCCTCCGATTAGTAAAGCTGATGCCACAGGTAGATACTGCAACGTTTGTTCTCACACTTAAAACTTGACTATAGATTCAGTGAAGCCATTTTAAAAGTGGCACAAGTTACCTTCAGTCGCAACCAACTAATGACGATTACATGCCAAGCTGGCCAATCAAACATCAAGTTTGCTAGAATTGAATTTTACTTCTCCTTTCGTTACTAAAAGCATATCCATTAAATATCGCTCGTATTTGCTAAAGTAGGCATGATTTCTTATTAAATTTACTTTCAAGAGATGCAATTGAACCATCAGGGTACTCCCCAAACCATCATAAACTAAAATATTGAGTTTCCGAGAAGATGAACCAAGATTTTATTATCCTACCAACTGTAAAGGGATCTGTACAACTGATAACAAAGGGATTTATAAAACCAGAATAAGACTCAGCCCGGGATGGTGAAATATCCCTTCTAACTGTATAGCGGCCACTGATAAGATCCATAGCATCCTGAACAGATTTGAAACTTATTTTAAGCAGGTATATATAAATGGAAGTCACTTGCTTTCGTGCAGATGAGCAATACTCTATATTTGCGAAAGAGAGGCAGATTACCTGCCGAATGCCATCCTGAAAGTTATTCAAAAAATATCTTGAAAGAGCACTCATCCCGTCTTTAATTATTCCTCCAAATGTCTGCTTCCCATATCTGTGGAAATATGGATTCAGAATACGATTCGAAAAAAAAGGATATATATATATATATATATATTGTCCATGATTCAAGTCATACTATACAGTTGAATTTACCTAACAAGGTCCCCCTTCAGGGCATACATCCCTGCATACTCGAGGCTTATCTCATCACCTTGCTCCACCCACACTAAAGCAACAGAATTGAGAATAAGTATAACAATTTATTGTAAACATTGTTTGATCATTTATGAAAGATAGGATACATGACACGAAGAATTCCATACACGTTCTAAATGTTTGATAGTCTTCAGCAAACATAGAAATGCTTTCAGAAGAATCCAGCACCCCAGCCCTCTGCAACTGTGCATCTATAGAATTCTGGGCCAAGTAACTCTACAAAATAAAGAAGCAGTAAACAATTTAATGTCAAATCTCAGTTTACTCATGCTATGGCATATGGTATATCATACTAGCACAAATTATTAAGATCAATCACACTAGGTAATTTTCTTAGAAACCTGAGTAACATTTGTTATATCAAGGCAATCAATGCAGTTTGATCTGACAATCCCTTTCTGCTCCTCCAGTATATTGCCTTTCACATCTACAAGGAAGTATCTGCCCAGCTGGAACGTTTTAATTAAAAACAGTATTACATATAGCCAGCATACCTGGATTTTGGCATATTTAATTCAATCAGATACTACGCTCTCATTACCCTTGCCTTTCAAATTGGTCTGAGATCTGCTCATATAGACGCTTTAGGTTTTCAAAGTTTGAGTTGCCACATACATGATGAAAGTCAAATGAAACGTATCTACAACAAAAACACTAGTAAGTTGAGAACAAAATCTCATTTCTGACATTGTTCCCAATGCCAACCAATAGAACTGACTTTATTATAAGCAACCTCGAAAACAAAAAAGGAATCTACTTGAAGTGGGAAAATGATTCAGTTGGGAGCCAACATAGATATGCAAATTGTCACCTCATGTTTGGTAGATTTTGCATTTCAGCAGAAAATGCCGTGCTTAGTTGACCTTCATCGCCATGCTACAAATAACAATAAATGGATAAATTATAACAACTGGAAATTTATGAAACAACATATACTTTGCATACAAGTAAAAAAACATTAAAACTTGTGTAGTACAAGCAGTCAGCTGGGAAGAATTATAGACATCATTGCTTATTTAGCAAATTCCAGAGCCACAAAAGGGTGAGCGTGTCGTACAAACACAATTTGAAGGAAAAAAATTGCAAACTTTTCAGCTTAACGTAAAGGTGGATCAGTGTGCAAGGATTGTTAAATTCAAAGTAAAATGTAAAAGAAAAGAAACCCATACTTTATCAGTTAGGTCTACTGCCATTGTCTCTCCATATCTTTGCGAAAGATCAAAAAAATGGCACTCCACAACATTTGACTGTAAGTGGATGGGAAAATTCAGAACACAATCTATGTTTGCTAAAGACTATCAAACATTTAGAGCATGTATGGAATTCTTCATGTCATGTATCCTATCTCTTATAAGTGATCATACGATGTCTATGATAAAATGTTATCCTTATTCTCAATTCTGTTGTTTTATTCCATACATGCTCTAAATGTTTGATAGTCTTCAGCAAACATAGAAATGTTTTCAGAAGAATCCAGCACTCCAGTCCTCTGCAACTGTGCATCTAGAGACTTCTGGGCCAAGTAACTCTACAAAATAAAGAATCAGTAAACAATTTACTGTTAAATCTCAGTTTACTCATTCTATGGCATATGGATATGGTATATCATTTCAGCACAAATTATTACAATCAATCACACTAGGTAATTTTCTTACAAACCTGAGTAACATTTGTTCTATCAAGGCAATCAATGCAGTTTGATCTGACAATCCCTTTCTGCTCCTCCAGTATATTGCCTTTTGCATCTACAAGGAAGTATCTGCTCAGGTGGAACAGTTTTGATTAAAAACAGTATTACATATAGCAAGCATACCTGGATTTTGGCATTTTTAATACAATTGGATACTACGCTTTCATTGCCCTTGCTTTTCAAATTGCTCTGAGATCTGCTCGTATAGAAGCTTTAGGTTTTCAAAGTTTGAGTTACCACATACATGATGAGCGTCAAATACTACAAAGCGAGTAAAAGCAAGCAATTGACTTACCTGCAAGCAATCTGATCGTTCCCGCCACTCCGTATATCGTCGAGGTTTTCGACGGACTTGGAGAAGAAGAAGAAGAACCACCTAGCAATCAGAAACAAGTATCGATTGAGCTACACAAATTTAGCAACAAAAAAACATCAAATTCGGTGAAAGAGATGAACAATTCATACCGTTAAGCGGCTCAATTGCGCCGCCGCCGCGGTCGATCGAGAAGCCTCGATCCGGGGCCGCGACGGATTTGATCACGAACTTGTCCTGAAGCTCCTGCAACTCCAGCCCCTCGTACAGCTTGAAACTTCCGCAGGAGAAAGGTCCACCGCCGTCCATTTCCGCCGGATTTTGATTGCAGAAGAAAATGGTGGTTTATCGAATTGGAAATGTCCAAACGACTCCTCCCTCTGGTTTCAGCTGATAACCGATGTCGAAGACGATGGATTAATTAAATGACGTTTTTACCCCTAATGACTCGAGATTATTCTAATATTGTCTGCGGCGGCGCGGCGGGGGGCAGCTGTGGATGATGCTTTTGGTCTTTGTGTTTGTGCCAGGAGCGACGATTCGGTACCTGCTACTGTACCGTAAAAAATTACGGCCGCAATGTTCGTCCAAAGTGACGGGAGTGGATGACATGGCGACATCTGGATAGCGTGGTCTTTTAAAATGGATTTGGATCCTCATCTCAGCCAATGGAGAGGATCCTCCTACCTAACCATTGTGGGCCGTTGGATGTTTATCCAACGGTTATAAACAGAAGATCTTTTTAAAGTTTTAATAATTATAACCGTTCGATGAAAATCTAACGACGCACGATGATTGATCAGGAGGATCCTCTCCATTGGCTCAGGAGAGGATCCAAATCCTTTTAAAATCGGTTAGTTGCAACCGTTGGAAGTAGATGGACCATGCGAAAAGTAGTAACCGTTGGATTTGTGTGATGATTCGGCTGATCATTTGGTTCTGTTCTTATAATTATTCTTTTTTTTTAGCTTGCCCTAACATGAAAATACAACAAATGCGGCATAAACCAATTGGTTAGAATAGCGTGGTGTTACATCTGAATTCAAGTCTTCTTTCCGATAATTTCAAGGTAATGCTATCCACACACTCTTTTTTATCTTTCCCGCACTTTTCTTAATTTTTTACTGTTGAGTCAAAAGAATTGAAGATAATAAAAAAATAGAAATTAACAAAAAGTCCGTAGAAGGTTAAAAAGATTGTGTGGATATCATCACGAATATCACATTGCAAAAGGAAGGAAAAACCAATGAAGATGAAAATACAGCTTCTCATTCCCACTCAATCAAATTTTCCTTCCCAACTTTATTTCCTCTAAGTTTAAGAATTACAAAGCCTAAATCTAAGCATGACAGCTAAACTTTTGATACAAGCGATATTAGGAGAGAAGAGGAAATCGAACATGGGACACACGAGCGCCTAAACTTCATCATTTATATGAATACAACCTCGATTGCCTCATACAGTTTCAGTATCACATACCCCTGATCAAATATGCTATTTACATCGACACCAAAACTTGAACAATCACTTTTTAAAGAAGCTGGCAAGCTCACCCTTCTGCTGCATGGAACTTAGGAGTTAGGATATCACATCCCCCAAGCAATTCTCCATTCATGAATATCTGGGGGAAAGTCAGCCAGTTACTGTACTTCTTCAGAGTTTCCCTCAGTCCTCTGTTATACTCTTCATCAAGCACATCAACGCTCTCATAATCCACCCCCTGGTTTTCAAGAATTCTGCCAACCTTCTGTGAGAAACCACACAATGGGGCACTTCTCGAACCCTTGATGAAGGCCACAACTTCATTCTCCTTCACCAACCGGTCAATGAGTTCCTCCAATGGCACTGTCAGCTGCACATTAGGACCAGGTGTTAGCCGGAGATCAGACTTCTTCTTCCTCGGTGGTGGTTTTCGGACATATGTGGCGTTGCCCGATCATTTCTCGGGGAAACCTTCCCAGTTGCTTTTATGTGTTCTTCCATCCATGATTTCCAAGTTTCCGTTAGAACCGCCCTATCTGGTTCATCTACTACCCCAACCTACAGTACAATATCATCACTGTTAGCACAGCAATATCGCTTATTTCCTTATACATTTATACTAGTTTTGCCGTAGAATCGACACCGATTTTACCAGTTGTCTCCTTTCTTTCTAGACACAGAACCAAAATGGCAGCTTAATCTTTTCACTTTGAAAGTAAAGTTGAAACATTTCAATTCAGTCCAATAAACTTCTATCTTACAGGGAAGAAACACTTGTGTGCCACTCAACATACGTGTGTTCTGACAACTTATGAAGCAATTGTTGCATCCGTGTCTTCCTAGCAAATTCTTTCATCCTACTTCGGTACCTAGCATTATATATTGTCCTTATAGTTGATAGATTTTGTGCATCTCTGTTTTTGTCTTTGATAGAGACCAAGATATCTTTGGGCCTCGCCAAACTCTTAGACATGTCCACCAACAATTCATTCTCCTCTTTAGAAAGTCGCCCCGCAAAAGAATGTCCTTTAAGATACTCTGAAGCAGGAAGATTATGCACTCCACATATTACCTTCAATGTTCAACCGTCCTCATCGCCAATATTCACACCTTTCAACAAGAATGGACATCCACATTTTTTCGTACTAGAACTCCTAGATTGTTTTTTTGTGTGACCAATCTCATCTAACATTTGACCATATGCTATAACACACTTGTATGACGGATATGTACCGTTTCTTTCACAAGCAAGTGTTAGTCGAGGGCGACTCACAATCTTACCTTCACCTCCTAAATTAGACCTTTTAATAACAATTACCATATTATTCAGTTTTCCCTGTTCACGAACCCATCTAATCAATGCATCTTTTCCCTTGAATATCTGCTTGTAACACATATTTTATTTAGAAGTAAAATTCTAAAATTAACTAACACGTTAACGACAGTATAAATATATGATTACCTAATTTTTAAATTGGTCAGTATAATCCACTACACATTCTTGTCCAACCTCGTTGCCTCGATTAGAGGCATCATCAAATTCTTGTTGCAAAAAAAATAAATGAAAAAATTATGGTTACAGTAAAAAAACCTTTAAGTTGTGATTAACAACAAATGGACAAATTATAAGCAATTAGACTATGAATTTTGATCGCATCAACTTTGAAATATCATGTCACATCCCGGCCCGGGGTGGATCACTTCCCGGGCCCGCTCCACCACCGTAGCACAATATTGTCTACTTTGGGCTTACCATTCCCTCACGGTTTTATTTTTGGGAACTCACGAGCAACTTCCCAATGGGTCACCCATCATGGGATTGCTCTAGCCCCCTTCTCGCTTAACTTCGGAGTTCCTACAGAACCCGAAGCCAGTGAGCTCCCAAAAGGCCTCGTGCTAGGTAGGGATGGGAATATACATTTAAGGATCACTCCCCTGGGTGATGTGGGATGTTACATATCATCTAATGGTCACACGATCAAATCTTAGTAGTAATCATTCTAATGTTATAATACATAAAGTAGTAATTTTAAATGTTAGTAGTAATCATGGTGGTGGTCCAGTGTTAAGGTGTAAAGATTATTAATTATTTGACTTAAGATAGTACTTGTTGATGCACAAAATCGGCGAAGACTTTGGTACAACAGAAAGTGTCAAGTTTGTGACCTTCGCTAGGTTGCTCTGGTCATTAGTGTGGATAAGTATGTAAATAAATAGAGACGGGGAAGCAAACAACACAAGATGTACGTGGTTCACCCAAATTGGCTACGTCCACGGAGTAGAGGAGTTCTCATTAGTTGTGAAGGATTTACACAAATACATAGGTTCAAGTGAATAGTTTAGTACAAATGACATTAGGGATTATTGTGGGAGAATGATCCCCTTTTATAGAAGAGA